ATTTGGACGAAGCATGCCTTTATCTTTTATTATTTAAGTCATGGATTCATGGTTTGATAAATGAATTGAACTCTTATTTATTTTTTCTTAATGTCCATTTGTATAACGCCAGGTTGTGGTGGAGCCCGAGTTTTTTGTGTAAAATTTTAAGTATCAATTTATTCATTATACTTTTCCTATGTAATTAAAATCTTGAATACTACATATATAGAAAAGAAAGTGAAAAGCGCTAAATATTTTTTCAGTTGATCAAATATAATTCTTGAATTTTAGTGCATTCAAATTATAAGCATTATAAATTCAAATTTTGAGGTATTTGGGATCCAGTTTTTGCTTCAGGAACACATAGACTCCATAGATAATTATTATTGACGAACTTGTAAATTGTAGTCATTTTCAAGCGGTAATGCATATTTTATCACCAATAAATTTAATTTGTTTAAGGTGAAAAAAACCAATATCTAATTCAAATGCCAGAGCAATATAATTAAAACTTCAGCAGAAGATCCAAAGATTAAGAATGATAAGATTCTCCTTAACATGATAACAACGTGATTTGAGAATTAAGATCTGGGTTTCGTTTTCCTAGGCAACAGAAGAAGAAGGTTTCGTTTCTCATAAGGTTATATAAACCCAATTTTCATACAGATTGAGTAACAAACCTAATGCACGTTGGAGACCAGCCTTTTATTAAAACAAGTCAGATCAAAGTCCGATGAAGCATATAGATTTAGTTTTGGAATAAAAAATTTAATATTTCTTGCTTTTTTTTAATCTTTAATATATGTGTTATCCTTAGCTAAAACATTTAATTATTATCATTATTGATTGAAGAAAAACAATTATTTTATGTTAGTTTAAAGTTAATTATTGACTTAAATTATTTCCTAGTAGTCAATTAAATTGACTAATTTTGGTTAATAGTCAAAGAGAAATTGAATTTCTTTTTCTTTATTAGGCTGTAATTAATTCAAATTTGGGCGACACAGTTGGAGGCGCGTGAAATTTTGTAACTCTCAACTGTCTTCAACCCCTAAAACTAAAACCTTCGAGCATTCGAACCAGAATTCAATTCTATTCTATTCCAGAATCTCCACCGACACAGCTTCATTATGCTCTAACCAATGCCCAAACCCTAGCTCCCTTTTACTTTCTTCAACATTATGCTGTTCCTTTTCCTAAGAAAGTTTTCTCTCTTCTTCTTTATAACCAAACAAACTTCATCATAAAACTTTCATGAAATATTGCAAATCTAATTTTCCTTTTCCTTTTTAAGTTTTTACATATGTTGAGGATTGCAATGGATGAGTTTTCTCCGAGGTTCTCTGTTGATTCGCCGCGAAATCCAGTTCATTGTCTTTTCGTCTTTCGATGCGATGGTCTTTCTCGGAAAAGTTTTCTTACTATAAACTTCCTGACGACCCTCTCAAGCTTTCTGTTAGCAAATTGGACGGCTCTTGCTTTGGTAATTTTCTTTATTTTTATTATTATTATCTGTTGGTTTCTGAGAAATTGTTTTTAGGCTACTAAGGCCTCTTTGTTTTCTAACAATTACCTGTTTGGGCATTTGCAGTAAATCGTTTTTTCGAACAAGGATGTATAATGACATTCAATGATTGAGATTTTATGATTAATTGACAGACATTGAAGTTATGAGACGGCTACAATTGCAGACTCAAGGAGGCGGTGGAGGCTGCATTTGGTCACATGCCGAAAAGGGACCAGGCAAGATTTCATGGTATGTTTATTCTTTATGAGGCAATTTCCTCATTGTCATCTGATATATTCTTTTTTTGAGGTTGTTTGTTTGTATATTAGGACGTTTAATTGTATTTTTTTATATGTAGGCCGCATGTTTGGGACATTTCTGCCTATGCTTTGAAAGTCAAAACTTAGTAACAACACCGATTATATAAAAATTACGGCATTAAAGATGGTGATCAGGTGTGTGACCGGCTTCCTTTGAGTTTTTTGTTCGAAGATTTGTCTAGAGTTTGTTTCGCATTTTGATGATCTTAAAGTTGTTGGGTGGCTCTTTAAATTTCCTAAAGTTTCTCTTAATCTACTGCTAAGAAGACGTGAAAAGAAAATTAAGAATCATATTTGAAGCTTTTTTCATTTCCATTATGATGATAAATTTAGTAGGTTTGGGTAATAGACATTATAGAAAGTAAAAGGAACAACTGTTAAATATCTTCACAGTTTCTGGATTGGATTGTCTCCTGTTCAGAAATTCCAGTGAAGTTGTCGTTGTTTGAACCAGCTTTCAATGAAACAATGGCATATGAATCCCACAAATTAGATGAACATGGAACACACAACCTAAATGTTGAAACCGTGCAGATAACGTTTGTGTAATAGAGTTGATGAGCTAATTATAATCCCTTTTGTTATTGTGCATTAATCATGGTTGACATAGACAGCAGTTGGCTTTACTTCCACTATCTTAATTGTTTGTGTTTTGGTATCCTACAGCTTCAGTTTATCCGCCATCTCTCAACCAGCTGCAAATGGTAAAGCTACAATCTAAGAAACAGCATCTACTTCAAAACATCAAAATATGTAAAATCTCAATGACCTTTAATCTTTCATCAACTCTTATTAAACAATATCATTTTATCTGCAAGCAACATGCAAATGTTCTGCATCTAACCACACTGACAAAGCAAATATCGCAACAACATGACTGCATTACCTGTTTTCTGAATAACATAGATTACATCCTGCTATAGGTAAATCTGGAATTGAATATGTGAAACTGCAGCTAGCTAACATCTCAGAAACCTTATTTCTTAATTTTGGTATAATTAACAATTGGTATGTGCCTTGTTCTGTATGTAAAGAACTTACTAATTCATTCATTAATCTGTCATTGTTTTTCCCTCACCCATAGAAACTGAAGAGATGATTTTTATGATAATCACACTCAAATCATAGCTATAAAGCGAAAGAGCAAGACAACCAGAGGACAAGGTAGACTATGATTGGGATGATATGGAAATGGTAAGTACCAGCACTTTGACAAGAAGGACGAGAGTTTTACTGGGCAAAATGAATCGAGACTGGCATTTTGTGAGGGGGTGGTTCTCATACTCCAGATGGTGGCGTGGGACAGAAAGGCAAGTCTTATCCATCAAGATACACTTGGGGTGCCTTGTCGCCCTTGTGCAGTTTTAGAAAATTATACACTTTAGTTGGTAACCAGTATTCCCGAATAGATAAAGTAGAGCGTATAGTGATTGCTAAATGCATCGTTGCTACTCTTTGCCTGAGTTGTTTTTTGGGTGTGACTTTGGGATTACACCTGAGCGGCATTCTTCCCAAAGTACTTACTGCTTGCTGTACAGATGTTTTCTTGTAAAAATATCGATTACAGATCAAATTAGCCATATCATGTGTTTGTGTGCAGGCTACATGGGTGATGAATTATTAATACTTCATCCATGTAACGAGACACAGTTAAAGTTTCATTCTGTTCACTTATATCGAATCTGAGTTTAGGATTCTGTTCATTGCCTTCAGTCTACTTCAATCATCTTGGGGAAATTTTCCTTTTTTCCCCTTAATAAGATGAAAAATTATCCCAGTCCAACTCAATTTGTATTATTTACATATGAATTATATTTGTGCATCCTTCTCTCGGTGTATGTTGAGATTTATGCATGAATTGATTAAAGAGAATATTGTGTGAGAGATTTAAGGTTATGCTGTTATTCATTCCTATTCTTTGTTCATTATGAAGGATGCTGAACTTTTTAATTCGTGCGGTGTTGGCGAGCCGGCGGTGTGAAGTGAAGGCTTGTTGGGCCTGTGAACTGACCCTGACCCAATAAATAGAAAGAAGGGAACAGAACACACACGCAGCGCACGTGCGCATCCAACTTCTTCTTCTGTCCATCACAGCCTCATCATTTGTGTGTGGCAGAAGATGATGAGATAACGCTTCTTTGAGTTCTTCCAACAATCTCCATCTCCACTTCACTTCCTCCAAAAAATCACAAACATAACCAAAACAAACACTTTCAGAAACAGAACTCATTCTCGCCATGGCTAACATGATCATGGCATCCTCCAATGCCAAACCCCTCATTTCACCCGGTCTACCAGACCCAAATTCATCCAATTTCACACAACCCCACTTTCTCTCCCCAAACTCTCCCCCCAACAATCCCTAAAAAACTCCTCTCTCTCTCTCCTCCCCTCTCAAATCCCTCTCTCTCCTCGCCGTCACATCCTTAACTTTTACACCTCCTTCTTTGGCCGCCGAAATCGAAAAGGCCGCACTTTTTGATTCAACTTAACTCTACAATCATCATGGTTGAATTCTTCTGCTCCTCATGTTCGCTCTCGACAAATTTACTCACACTCACTAGCAATTCATGGATAGAGAGACGCCGCTATTAAAGAGAAGCTTAACAGCGTAAAGGACACTTCTGAGGAGGTGAAGCAGTTGGAGAACAAGCTGCTGCCATAATGAGAGCTGCGAGAGCTGAAATATCAGCGGCTTTGGAGTAAGATGAAGAAGGGACAGAGTTGGAAGTTGAGCAGAAACTGCTGAAGGAAGAAAGAAATTAGGCAGAGCTTCAGGAGGCTTTGGCTAATTTGGAGAAGCAAAAGGAAGACCTGTTAAGTCTCTTGATTCTAAATTGCTGCTCTTAGCCAAAACTTGTGAACAGGTCCTTCCTGTTCAATAATGGTTTATTGTTTTTTTGAGTTGTCTTGATTTCTGTAATCAAACAATGTAAGTGTAATATACACCACCTCTTCTCCTCTCATAATTCTTATTATTCCTTGTTTTATTATGGTTATCTAATTATATGCTGAAATCAGAGCCAAAAATAAAACTTGTGATTGTTGATTATATGCTTCATATGGTTCCATTTATGTGTGATGGCTTGTTGATATTATCCTCTTTTTTGGTTTCTTTTCATGAAATTGACACTATATATTTCTTCTCTTAACAAAAATCAGTTTTTGTCTGCTATAAATATTTCCTGCAGATGGTATGTTCTTGCTTGTTTCTCTACCTGTTGAGACGCTGGAAGATTATTACTTTCTATGTGGGTGAATCTTTGCCGACTTCTGATAATAACTCAAACTTTATAGCCTTTAAGACGTTGATGCACACCCTTCCTCTGGCAGCAACCTATTTGTTTTACATGGTATGTGTGTTATGATCTTTGCTATATAACATTGAACAGTTTTAGTGGTTGCTAATACATATCAGGCTTTTCGTTGTAACTTATTGTGCCCATTCTCCTATTTCTCTTTGGAAGGTAGTCTCTGTCGAGTCTGTTCGTGGAGTAAATGTTCCCATGTACACCACTCTTCGGCGTACTACAGTGGCATTTACTATGATAGTGGAGTATGTTCTGGCTCGGCAAAGATACACACCTCCTATCATTGGGAGGTAAATAGCCTTTTTGCACTTTTTCTTGTAGTATTTGGTTGCTGGTTATGAAGAATGCGCATGGCTGTTTTGAGTTTATGTCTCTACTAAAGCTGCATGACATGTTTGAGATATTGGACTTGATGAACTCCCTTGATTTGGTTACTAGGGATATCTTACTCCCTAATGTATTAGTGTAAACTATTTGTCGATTTTTTTTTTAAATCAGATGAAATGCATGTAGGATTTTGAGTAGTTAAGTGGTTTACAGAGCATGTAATATTGTCTCATACATAAAACAATAAGATGCTTAGTTGAATAATTTCTTGTTAAGTAGTTGGAGGACAATGGAAAGAATTCCTCTCAAAAAGGCCAATTCTCTTTTCTGAATATGATATATGATCATATTTATGACCTCTAATAGTGCTATTTATATAAGTATATCATTCTGGGAGTTTGACCACTGGTTATTAAGAATATGTTCAATATGTAATTTAATTTACAGGAAAAAAGTTATGAGATTTAAAAAAAAAAAAAAAAAAAAAAAAATTGTTTGAAATGCAATGTTTCTGATTCCCTCACTAAACTGAAAAATTTTAAGGATGTTATCAGTGTTGTGTTGATAATTCTTGGAGCATTCGTTGCTGGAGCTCGGGATTTGTCATTTGACTTCTATGGCTATGCAGTTGTTTTCTTAGCCAACATTGCAACAGCAATATATCTTGCCACCATAGCCCGGATTGGTAGTACTCACACTTATTTGTTATCGAAGTATCTTTCTTTTTCATTTCCTCTTCACTAGCTTGACCTTTTTCTTAGATAATTTTCTGAAGTTCTCATTTTTTTTTTTTTTTTTTTTTTTTTCTCAGGGAAGTCCAGTGGCCTTAATAGCTTTGGTCTTATGTGGTGCAATGGTAATCTTTAGATCATAACTTGCATGCCTTCAGATTTATTTTTCTCTCATAATTATGTAGTCTGAGTTCCAGTTCTGATATGAAATCCAATTGCTTTTCTATGTTAGGAGTCATATGCGGCCCATTTTTGTTCTTTTGGACACTTATTCGTGGTGACTTGAAGATGACAATACATTTTCCTTATCTGTTTTCACCTGGTTTCTTGGTACCGTCTGCTCATCCATAGAAATTAGTTTCTTCAATATAATTATTAACTTCATGCTTAGAAATTCTGCTTTTTATAAGCCAGGTTAATTCTTTAATAATGTCATAACTCAAGATAAGATTGCTCTGTTTTATCCTCTGTGGGCAGATTGTGCTGCTTCTCTCCTGTACACTGGCCTTCTTTTTGAACTACAGTATATTTCTGAACACAACTCTTAATTCAGCGCTTACACAGACAATTTGTGGTAATCTGAAGGTTCGTTGAACACTTACTTCTCTTTACCTGGATTATTAAATGTAGCCTGTGCACTATGACAGCCTGAGCACGGCAATGCTCCTCATTGTCTGCTTTGAGTTGGCACATAGATAAATTTTGAAATATTTGAAGCTTGGGAACTTCCTGAATGAATCTAGAATATGGTATACTATGATAATAGAGCCTGAAATGTTTTAAAGATGAGCACTTTTTATATTTTGTCCTGTCGCTAAAAACACAAAGTTTGACTGCTCAACTGAAATTATTAGATTTTAGGAATGTTTTCTGTGGTGGGTTATATGTATGATTAAGGTATGGAAGGATCAAATGGCAATGATGAAAGGGATCATATTATTGGTCTTTTATGTAAAATAAATGATTGAGTAAAAGGGAGTGGGCGGTGTTGTGACTGAAAATTTGGACTTGTTGGGTCCAAATTACTCATACTTTGAATTTCCTTGAAACGCAAATGAATATGTGGTCATTTCTTAGCGCTAAAACCTGAATAAGGATACAACATGGGCTTAAAAAAAATCATCACTCAGCTGGTAAAAAACTAAAAATTTATCCTTAATTGCTGGTTCCACAGCAGTGGTTTATGCCAAATTTTTGCTTGTTTGATGCTTGTATGCCATGATTTTTACAAATTTTATAAAGCCCAAATGAATAGGGGAGCATCTTCCTCTACTTGCTTTTGCATTATAGTCTTGTGTTGTTGTAGGACCTTTTTACAAGGACTTGGCTGGATACTTTGGTGGGCTCCCATTGATATTGTAAGTGGCTGAATCCTACTGCTAAGCATTCGGGTGCATCCTTCAAATACTTGATTTTCTGATGAGCATGGTTTGTTTTGCTGCAGGTGAATGTTACCGGGCAATCTCTTGGTTTTCTTGGCTCTGGTTTGTATGCCTACTATAAACTTGTAGGGAAGTAAGTAATGTCCATGTCACGCAACAGCGATACCTATATGAAGGTTAACATCAACTACCTACAGTAGCCGTGTACCAAATCTGATTGACAGCTTCGTGGTCTCTAAAGAGATGCAATTCTGTATAGGAGATTATGCCTGGCGCGAAGCGCATTACAAATTTTTGAGGGAAATGAAGTCTGGGTAACCCTTGGTGTATATTTCAGTTAATGCCATTGTAAATGATGATCTCTTATCCCTCTTTTTTCTTCTTTTCTTTTACCTCCGTTAAGGTTAACACTAACAGGCTTGAAAAGAATTAGTGTTCAGGTACAACAAATCATACAATATTTCACTTGTTTGGGTCGATTTTGTTGGTAGATTACAGTGTTTAACTTTGCGTTAGTTTCAAATTTCAAAGGGCTTCTGACTTTAGGTTATTGCCAAATTGGATTCGTTGAATTAATTTGGGACGAGCATGCCTTTATCTTTTATATTTAAGTCAGGATTCATGGTTTGATAAATGAATTTGAACTCTTATTTATTTTTCTTAATGTCCATTTGTATAACGCCAGGTTGTGGTGAGCCCGAGTTTTTTGTGTAAAATTTTAGTATCAATTTATTCATTATACTTTTCCTATGTAATTAAGAATCTTGAATACTACATATATAGAAAAGAAGAGTGAAAAGCGCTAAATATTTTTCAGTTGATCAAAAATATCTTGAGATTTATAGTGCATTCAAATTATAAGCATTTATAATTCAAAATTTGGAGGTATTTGGGATCCAGTTTTGCTTCAGGAAACAATAGACTCCATAGATAAAATTTATTATTGAACGAACTTGTAAATTGTAGTTCATTTTCAAGGTAATGCATATTTTATCACCAATAAATTTAATTTGTTTAAGGTGAAAAAAACCAATATTCTAATCAAATGCCAGAGCAATATAATTAAAACTTCAGCAGAAGATCCAAAGATTAAGAATGATAAGATTCTCCTTAACATGATAACAACGTGATTTGAGAATTAAGATCTGGGTTTCGTTTCCTAAGGCAAAGAAGAAGAAGTTTCGTTTTTCTCTAAGGTTATATAAACCCAATTTTCATACAGATTGAGTAAACAAACCTGCAGACTTGGAGATACAGCCTTTATTAAAACAAGTCAGATCAAAGTCCGATGAAGCATATAGTATTTAGTTTTGGAATAAAAAATTATATATTTCTTGCTTTTTTTTAATCTTTAATATAATGTGTTATCCTTAGCTAAACACATTTAATTAATTAATCATTATTGATTGAAGAAAACAAATTATTTATGTTAGGTAAAAGTTAATAATTGACTTAAATTATTTCCTAGTAGTCAATTAAATTGACTAATTTTGGTTAATAGTCAAATAGAGAAATTGAATTTCTTTTTCATTTATTAGGCTGTAATTAATTCAAATTTGGGCGACACAGTTGGAGGGCGCGTGAAATTTTTGTAACTCTCAACTGTCTCAACCCTAAAACTAAAACCTTCGAGCATTCGAACCAGAAATTCAATTCTATTCTATTCACAGAATTCCACCGACCAAGCTTCATTATTGCTCTAACCAATGCCCAAACCCTAGCTCCCTTTCTTTCTTCAACATTATGCGTGTTCCTTTTCCTAAGAATATGTTTTCTTTCTTTCTTTATAACCAAACAAACTTCATCATAAAACTTTCATGAAATAGATTGCAAATCTAATTTTCCTTTTCCTTTTTTAAGTTTTTACAATATGTTGAGGATTGCATGGATGAGTTTTCTCCGAGGTTCTCTGTTGATTCGCCGCGTAAATCCAGTTCATTGTCGTTTTCGTCTTTCATGATCGATGGTCTTTCTCGGAAAAGTTTTTCTTACTATAAATCCTGACGACCCTCTCAAGCTTTCTGTTAGCAAATTGGACGGCTCTTGCTTTGGTATTTTCTTTATTATTATTATTATCTGTTTGGTTTGAGAAGATTGTTTTTAGGCTACTAAGGCCTCTTGGTTTCTAACATTACCTGTTTGGGCATTTGCAAGTAAAATCGTTTTTTCGAACAAGGAAAATGTATAATGACATTCAATTGATTGAGATTTTATGATTAATTGACAGACATTGAAGTTATGAAGACGGCTACAATTGCAGAACTCAAGGAGGCGGTGGAGGCTGCATTTGGTCACATGCCGAAAAAGGGACCAGGCAAGATTTCATGGTATGTTTATTATTAGAGGCAATTCCTCATTGTCATCTGATATATTCTTTTTTTGAGGTTGTTTGTTTGTATATTATGGACGTTTAATTGTATTTTTTATTATATGTAGGCCGCATGTTTGGGGACATTTCTGCCTAGCTTTGAAAGTCAAACATAGTAACAGACACCGATTATATAAAAATTACGGCATTAAAGATGGTGATCATGGTGTGACCGGCTTCCTTTGAGTTTTTTGTTCGAAGATTTGTCTGAGAGTTTGTTTCTGCATTATGATGATTAAAGTTGTTGGGTGGCTCTTTAAAGTTCCTAAAGTTTCTCTTAATCTAGCTAAGAGACGTGAAAGAAAATTAAGAATCATATTTGAAGCTTTTTTCATTTCCATTATGATGATAAATTTAGTAGGTTTGGGTAATAGAAACATTGATAGGAAGTAAAAAGGAAAAACTGTTGATAATCTTCACAGTTTCTGGATTGGATTGTCTCCTGTTCAGAAATTCAGTGAAGTTGTCGTGTTTGAACCAGCTTTCAATGAAACAATGGCATATGAATCCCACAAATTAGATGAACATGGAACAACAAAACCTAAGATGTTGAAACCGTGCAGATAACTATTTTGTAATAGAGTTGATGAGCTAATTATAATCCCTTTGTGTATTGTGCATTAATCATGGTTGACATAGACAGCAGTTGGCTTAACTTCCACTATCTTAATTGTTTGTGTTTTGGTATCCTACAGCTTCAGTTTTCCGCCATCTCTCAACCAGCTGCAATATGTAAAGCTACAATCTAAGAAACAGGCATCTACTTCAAACATCAAAATATGTAAGAATCTCAATGACCTTTAATCTTTCATCACTCTTATTATAAGCAATATCATTTTAATCTGCAAGCAACATGCAAGTTCTGCATCTAACCACACTGACAAAGCAAATATCGCACAAACATGACTGCATTACCTGTTTTCTGAATAACATAGATTACATCCTGCTATAGGTAAATTGGAATAGAATATGTGAATACTGCAGCATAGCTAACATCTCAGAAACCTTATTTCTTAATTAGTTGGTATAATTAACAATTGGATATGTGCCTTGTTCTGTAAAATGTAACAAACTTACTAATTCATTCATTAATCTGTCATTGTTTTTCCCTCACCCATAGAAACTGAAGATGATATGATTTTGATATGATAGATCAACTAACAATCAAATAGCTATAAAGCGAAAGAGCAAGAGCAACCGAAGGACAAGGTAGACTATGATTGGGGATATGGAGAATGGTAAGTACCAGCACTTTGACAAGAAGGACGAGAGTTTACTGGGCAAAATGAATCGAGACTGGCAAATTTTGTGAGGGGGTGGTTCTCATACTAGATTGGTGAGCGTGGGACAGAAAGGCAAGTCTTATCCATCAAGATACACTTGTGGTGCCTTGTCGCCCTTGTGCAGTTTTAGAAAATTATACAACTTTATGATGGTAACCAGTATTCCCGAATAGATAAAAGTAGAGCGGATTAGTGATTGGCTAAATGCATCGTTGCTACTCTTTGCCTGAGTGGTTTTTTGGGTGTGAACTTTGGGATTACACCTGAGCGGCATTCTTCCTCAAAGTACTTACTGCTGCCTGTACAAGAATGTTTTCTTGTAAAAATATCGATTACAGATCAGAATTAGCCAATATCATGGGTTGTTGCAGGCTACATGGGTGATGAATTATTTAATACTTCATCCATGTAACGAGTCAACAGTTAAGTTTCATTCTGTTCACTTATATCGAATCTGAGTTTAGGATTTGTTCATTGCCTTTCAGTCTACTTCAATCATCTTGGGGAAATTTTCCCTTTTTCCCCTTAATAAGATGAAAAATTATCCCAGTCCAACTCAATTTGTATTATTTACATATGAATATATTTGTGCAGTCCTTC